AAAAAAAAAAAAAAAAAAAAAAAAAAAAAAAAAAAAGAAAAAAAGAAAAAAAGAAATGGCCTCTGGGCCAGGGATTTAGCTCAGTGACACCGAGCCTGCCTTGTAAGTGCAATGTCCTGAGTTTGATCCCCGGTAGCAGAAAGAGAAAAAAAAAATGGCCTTGGGCTGCATGGCAATAAAATACCACTTTTGAATACAGAAATTTGAATTTCACATGATTTTCATATTTTATATTATTCTTCCTTTGAGTTTTCTAAAATCACCTAAAAAAAATGTCTTGCACTGCTGGGAGTTGAACTCTGGGCTTTGTGCAAGCTAGACAAATGTTCTACTATAAATCTATATCCTTGACTCTTTTATTTTGAGACAGGGTCTTTTTATGTTGGACTAGATCTTGCATCCTCCTGCCTCAGCCTCCTGACTAGCTAGGATCACAGGAATGTACCTTCATCCCCAGTCTAAACATCAAATCTTAATCCTCAGGCTGTTCATCACTGGTGGTGAGTCCAGTTGCGTGTGTCTGTGCTGATCTGCAGATTTGATTCACTCCTGCTGTGAGTCCTCAAATTCCAGCTCAGGATGGTAATGCTCCCCGACATCTTGGCCTCATCTCTAACCGTGGCAGGCATCGCAAATGTACCACAGCATCATCCTCTGAGTGTCAACAGCCTCAGCCAGGCAAAAGCAATGGATCTGAAGATGGCAGTCAAGATCAATCCAGGATGCCCAGTGTGGACAGAGAGACTACACGGCAGGATTCCAGCTCACTCTCTTTTTCCACTGCCCACCCCAAGCCATCTTCCTATGACACTGCTCAAGGTCCTGGCCCTGAGGCCATCCTTTCTTCTGACTCACAATCGGTTAGGCCAACATGGGTCAGCAAGAGCAGCTGAGGATTTCCAAGTCTGACTCAGCAGCACAGCATCTGAGCAGCCTGAGTGCACCCCAAGCGAGATGTGAGAAAGAGGCACTTTCTTAGTACAAAGTCAGTTTCTAGGTTCCATTTCGGACACACTGTAAAGTCAAATACTGGCTTGAGACTTAGAAAAACCAACAACCTGGGAAAATACAGGTACTTACAGGAAAAGTTCACACAGGAAGTGGAGTAAAATTCACGCGTGAGCTTGCCTGTGACAGTGGCCGCATCTCAGCCACTCCCATTTGGGGAAGCTGCGGGGTCAGAGGTCGTGGGCTGTGTCCCCCAAGGCATAGCTCCTATGAGCCTCGATTTTCTTCCTGGGCTGCAGACTCATCCAGGAGCATTTTTTTTTTTTTTTTTTTTTTTTTTTTTTTTTGGTACTGGGGATCGAACTTGGGACCTTGTGCTTGAGAGGCAGGTGCCAGAACCACTGAGCTAAATCCCCGGCTCATCAGGAACGTCTGTGTTTGAGTTTTGGTGGTGATACTGGGGACTGAGCCCTTGTAAATCTTGAGGCATGCATGCTCTCACTAAACTGCTCAGATGGGATTTACTTTTGCAGCTCTCCTGCCTCAATCTCCCAGGCGTGGCATTTCGCTGTCTGAATGTTAAGCAGTTGCACGGTGAAATCCAGGTGGTCTCTAACATTTGGATACCACTTAGTTCAGCAGCCCCATCCTGCAGGCAAGACCTCAACCACAAGCAGTGGGACGAGAAGCTGGCTCACCTCCCAGGTGCGGCACCTTCTTTGTGGGTGGGCAGCAGCCTCTCCGTAGCACCAGGAACTGTGACCACAAGCCCACGGCAGAGCCGAGCTCACTGGCTGGAAAAAGGCCAGGGAGGCTTCAAGTCAACTAGGAGTGAACCGTGACTCCCAGGGCCAGGGAGGTCCGAGGGTGGCTCAGGCTGGGTGGAGCAGTGCTGTATTCGTGTCCCACGCGGAGTCAGAGGACGCCTTGAGGCCCCTGTGTAGCGGCACAGACTGCAGGGTCCCGTCACGCAAATGAGGCACTTGAGTGCTGTGGTTGGGCAGGAGCACAGTTGGGGTTTGGTGTTGGCAGGCTCTGCGCACCTGCTAGATGGAGGAAGTGGCCGTGGCCTGGGTACCAGGGCCGGGCACCCAGAGCCACCTGCTCTGCACACAAGCACACAGTGCCGTGGCTGCCGTGCTGTGCACGTGTGTTCTGGTTTACAGCTGCTCAAACCAGCTGTTTTCTGTGGCAGGTGACGCCCCATAGGGCATGGAGCCATCGTGGAGGCTCAGCAGCGGGCTACACACAGCTCCCAGCCAGCTC